GTTTTTCCGTGAAAGTTTGTGCGGTGATTCGGTTAATGGAGCAGACTGCCATCTTTTTCCGCGCAGTTTATTGTTGACTTGTTGAGGGAGAGCAGCAGTCCCACGAACCACGGGAGAGAGTAGGTCCAAAGCAACAGCAGTCTTCTGCTACTTGTCTCGGCTGTCCCATGCCAGATTCAACTAAAACGCTAAAATAATTTGCTATCTTGATGCACTCTGTTTTAAACTAGACGGAATCTGTTTGCCAAAAAAAGAAATGATGACACATGTCCCCCACTATCAATTCTCCACTGAAGAAATAGAGTAGTTGCGTGCATCATATCAGGAAACCGAATTCATATGAGGATGTATGACAATGGTTTACAAAATAACATATAAATGGATTACATGATTCTACTACAATTTTATTAGTTTGTTACCCTAAAACAGCATCCAGTCTCCCAACGAAAGGAAAGGGGGAAAAAAGGGATGAAAATTTAAATATACACGGCAACAAAGTTCCCTCTACAGCCCACAACTTTATCAGAGCCAACCCTCCCAAAAAATAGAACAGAGAAGAAAAGAAAATTACAATTCTATCTTTCACCTCTCCATCAAAATAAACAAGTGTTGCCTCAAGATATATGAATTCTTGTTATATTATCTGACACGAGAACTGCTCTTATCTTTAGAGCGCAAGATCCCTGTATTTTGCTGCTTCTTTCGCTTTGGCTTGCCAACGGCTGAAGGGTCTATTAATGGACCGGACCAAGTGGCGACACCCTGTCCTTTTTGGTAAGGAAATACAGTGCTGAATGAAGAAGGATCGGGAGGATCAAAGGCGGGGTCCATGTGGTGTGATGAACCAAGAGGGTAGCCAAGAGCGCCGTCTTGGTGAGGGGGAGGGAATTTTTCACTCTTGCTCTTGGCGTTAGCATGCGTTATTAGACGCCTTCTCTGTTAATTCGAGAAAAAATAAATTAAATAAAAATTAATCACTCAAATATGTAGATTTGATGGAAGGTCCAAACGTGATCCTGTTACTTCCTAGGTGATGGCATGCAGGTCTAAACCTTCTATATTACTGAAAAGGTATAAACAAAGCAATAACTTTTTCAGAATGATATTTATCTGAGAACGAATAAACCTATAAGAATTTGCGCACAACCCGTTTCCATTATGTTTGAATGATTTAGTGTGATATGGACATGCGGAAAATCTGTAATATACAAGAGCAGTCGTTCAACTAGTTGGTGAATATACAGCTTCAAGACCACACCTGAATTGTACGTGCATAAATACATACTTCGTATGCCAAGGCAACATCCAGTCCGATATGAAATGATCACAGCTTATACACATGACCTCTATGAAACTACATTTGCATCTTTATAAAACATAACTTTGTAAAAGTTCACTTATTTATAGATGCATTATATTAAATTAAATATGAAACAACATACAAGTGATGTATATGGGCAGTTAATACAAGTACCATGCTTTGTTGAGCACGAATTTACCAGGCAAACTCTCACTGTCCACTCTTGCTCTGATACATCATATATAGAGTGAATATATGAAACTATAGTTATCCTAAAGGGTGTTCTGTTCCATTAAGGGTGTTCTATTTAAAAGGCTTTGATCATATGGGAAAAGTGTATCATGTATGATTGTTCAATACAATTGCCAGAAAAAATAGTTTGCTTAATAGAAGATTTAAAATGGTAACAAAGGAATAGGTGATGGCAGAATGGCATGGACTTACATCAATGTTGGCTTGGAGTTCTGCGTTAGCTTCAGGAGCAGGAACTGCCCGAGCAGCCCGATCACGTGTTCGCGTCTTCTTAGTTCCATCGCCATTGCCTCTCCCCGCAGCTCTCAACCTGCAATTGTAAATACATGATCTGTGTAAGCCACGAGTATATGCATGGGCATACATAATAAATTTAAATCACTTCCATTAGAAGTAATATAACAACCACACAGACAACACACCAAGATAAAAAAAAAGGTTAGAAAAATAAATCCACGTGTTCAGATTACAGTACCCAGAAACCAACTCAACATTCCCATTCTCATTCTTGGAAAAAAAACAATGTTCCCACAATTATCTTTGAATTCAGGGATGATTGTTTCCCTTCATGTGTCAGGAATCCAGATGAAATGTGGGTGGGCTCATAAGGAGTTTTGTCACAAAGTAATTCATCTATCAGAAGCCTTGTTTGTTTATCTGGATTTGAAGGTTAGGCGATAGCAAGCTACATATTAGTTCTCCACTCAAACCCCTTGTCAGAAGTTCTATCCAGATTAAAGGACTTATGTTGTAATATGTTGGTCCCATAATAATTTTTAAAAATTATAAAAATGTATAAAAATTGTAAATAGATAACTGGAAAAGCGGGATCTGATATTAATATATCATATTTTAAGCACAAAAATCTACCATCACTAAGATTACCAAATGCTAATATACAATATTTTAAATACAAGTAAATAATTAGTGGACCCAAAATCCACTTTTCAACTTTATCACTTGCTTTACCAACAAACAAGAATTCTTGGGATCTCTTTCCAAAACTAACTTTCCCTTGCACTGTTCTACAAACCAAACACAATTTAAAATATTGACTGCTGAAGATTTTCTGGATTTCTGACATGGTCATAAATCCAAAGTGGCCTTCTCGATTCAACAATCCAGTAGTGTTTTAAAATTGCTAAAGTAGCTATGCACCCAAGAGGACGCCTAGCACACTACAGAGCCTTCAAAAGCCTTTGAATGAAAGAATGCTTAAACTTCTACCAAAGCAACCGCATAGGCTGTTTTTCAAACATGCCATCCAATTTTCTTTAACCCTATTTTTGCTACAATGTTCTTCTGCATTCAAAAAGTATGGTCACAGAAAAACTTTGGTTTATTATGTTAGCTTTGAATGTACATCAATATTGAACAATGAAAAATCAATTTCCTTAACAAATTAAATTGTTTTGAGTTCGCGCAGTTAGCTCACAACTTAAATGCGTGTTTCAAAATTAATAGAGTACTTCACTAAGGCATCAACATGTTATCGGTGGTTTCAAGACAATTAACTAATAACAGCTTTGTAAACTGAAGACCCTGGAACCTGATTAAAATGATAATTAAATCTAGTAACTAGGTCACAAGTTAGACAAAAATGAGGTAGCTAACTGGTAGTTCTTTAGTTAACACGAAGCATAGCAACAAGCCTATGCCTGAATTACCCTACTTCCTTTCACAAAAATAATTAGTGCTTGCCAGTTGCAGCTATCCAGTTGCTAGTTGTTTGCTGGTTGACGATATAATAGAAGTTAGAGAATGTAGTGCCAAGCACAAAAGGAAAAGGTCCCTATAAATGCTGCATCAACTATAAATTATTTATCTTTTAGAGCTCAATGTAACTAGTATGACTATATATACTCGTGTTAGAGAGTGTCATAATGAGTTCAAACTTCCAAGAGAATTGGACCGGACATTCTTTTTAAGGAAAAACAACATTCTCATTTGATGTTATTATATATCTCATCCCCAGATAATGCACAGTTTTAAAGTATCTCCTTGCCTAGAAGCACTATGTAAAATTGGCTGGATTCAGAAAAGGCAAATTAGAAATAGTCAAGAGAAAATCCAGAAAAATCTGCCCCAATGAAAGAGAGATAAAAAAATATGTATATCCAATAAATGAAAAAGATATGATCACAAACCTTCTAGCCTCTTCATCCCTTAGTTTAGCGTCCATCTCCTTGCTTGGAGGATATTGTGGAAGACTTGAAGGCTCACATGCATAAGGTGGAGTTGTAAAAAACTTCAAAAGCAAAAAAAGCACAGGTCATGAAAGTAGCATGTGCCTCTGGAATTGGATAGTTGAATATGAAGAGAACTAGATGCCAGAAAACAATATATTCAACATCATATATGAAACTGGCTCTTGTACAGCATTTGACGTTTCTCTGCATTCCTTTTATATAAACTATGGTACAGCAGAACCAGAGTGCCAAGTTGGGTGAATATTATCACTGTTAATTGTAACTGCAAACGACAAAAATTATGGGTTCCCAAATATCTGATGCAGTTGTTTACTAGCATTACAGAAAATGTCCACCTTCAAATATTCTAGTCTAAAATATTTCATTTGTCCGAAAATTAGATCAGAAGAGAGAGCCATGAAAACTATACACACATCCAGAAAAATATATTACTTTTCGTCCATCAACGCAAAGTAAAATAGAACTAAAAACAGAGTAATGAAACTTCATTGAAAAAACAGAGTAAAATAGAAATAAAAACCAAATGTTAACTGCACCAGAAAAACAAATATAGTATGTGAAACAAACATATATCAGTATAAGGTCAGTATTACCAGAGAACATAAAGCTTACTTCACTGTTTAATGCAGCAGTTGCAGTTTGACGTTCAGCTGGGTCAATAGCAAGAAGAGTTTCGATCAGTGGCAACGATGATGGTGGAAAGTCTTTGAAAGTCTCTGCTATACAACGTTTGTATGGTTGCTGAGGTTTAAATATGGTTGCATGTGGCAACTTCGACTTCTTCCAGTAATCCTCCGAAGGGGAACCACATAGCTTAAAAATCTTGTGCAGCTGCTCAACCTACTGACAAGAACATGGTTACAGCTACTCGGTAGCAGTAATAGATGTAAGAGCTTTATGTCCTATATTGGTATAACATAAACATCATCAGCAAGCTACAAACACAGAATATAGCATACCAACAAAGCGGATTTCATTGTGAATATGTGATTACATACTAAGAGTTAAAGAGTTCCCATGGCACGTCTCTAAGGAAGACTTATAGTGAAATTGGAATCATTGAATCAAGATATGTGTCCTTGTAACTGTTTGTAAAGTTGAAATCATCTGGTACTGCTTGCTTTACTGTGAAGTACCTCTATTAGACCCCAATTGTAAGGAAAAATATGTGTTTGATGAAAGTGAATGATCTCACATTAGTCGTACAACCATGTACTTAAAGTAGTTTTTGCATCACACTGGTTGGAGATGTAAACCCCAAATATGAGTCAATTCCAGCCTTCAGCAATACCCACTGCAAAATGAAGCTAAGGACCAGAACACTTAGACCGTTCAATTCCACAGGTTGCGTGACCTAACTGATAAATATAAGAACATGATTGAATAATTTTACGTTTCACCTCTTCATATGACTAAATATTAAATTTTGAATTTGAAGTTGTATGTAAAATTATGAATTCTGCAAATGAGTTTTGACATAGTTAAGAGCAAAACATAGATGCACATGATAAAGGCATTAACTGGCACAATTTGCCCAAAACCACGTCAAGCATAAAATGCTGCCATGAAAACTGGTGAACTGATTCATATACACAAGGATACACAGATAGATAGAACAAATACCCTCAGATAAGATGAGAGGTCAAAAAGGTTTCCCAGAGTAAATTAAGAGAAAAAAAAGTTGATAAAAATAAAAAAAGAAAGATGTGCAACAACTCACATAACTCATAAAAATTAAAAAAAATTATAGATACAATTCATAATACCCATTTTACAAAGGGAATAACATGTATCTTCTAAACAGTTAACTCACAGCCCTCTAGAAATAAGTGCTGAGATCCTGGAGAACATAGAATTTGGCAGGAAAGAAGTTACCCTGAGAACTACAAGATCAATAACCTTGTGATTACCTACCAAAATTAAGCCATCCAATATTTGACCATATAAGCATATGTGAAAAAAAAATTTAAACTAGCCAGTGGTTTACTGAATCAATTAAATGATAAGTACTTGAGTAAGAACATCTAGTTAAGAACCATTAGATCAGGCAAACTTTACCAGTCGCTCAACTACATTGAAGCTTGCTGAACTTGGAAATCTTCATTTCAGATTCTTTTGAAAAGAACAATACACAAACTTCATGGATGCATCTTTTGTTATCACTGATGAGCTTAAAAAAGTCAAGACCCGTATTCTTTGATCTCAACTTATCAAATAATCAAAGCGAATATAAGTTTCACTTTGTAACTCATATGAACAAGCTTGAACGCATCGCAAGCAAGCTTAGCAAGCATAGCCGAGCTGCTCATGATTCAGTATCACACCAAAACCTTAGTTTCTACCTGCCATACAATCATTCATAAGTGACATCACACTTCAAAGACAAAGTATTCCTCCGATCCTTCAACCTCCCTTTACTTCTCTTACAACAATATGTTCGGGATCAGATCAGCTTACTCTTCATGGTACAAATGTGTGAGAGACCTTTCAGACACTCTCAGACACAAGTCCAGCACATCCAAAGGTCTATTTGGCAACAGATTGAAATCTGGGCCAGGTCTGAACCTGGCCTAGCTCTAATCTAAACTGGTTCTAGTTTGGACCAAACGGGGATGGTCCAAACTAGAACCAGTTTAAAGGCCAAATTTTGGCTTAAGAAAACAAGGCCAACTGTGGCCCAATACTTTGCCAGACACAAAAGCATTCAAAACTGGGCTAGGTTTGAACATGACCCCTTTTTGAAAGATTGCCAAACACAGCCTTAGTTTAGACTTTAAGTCCTAGATTTTCTTATCCGGACTCCGGAGATATTCTAGCCTTATTTAATCATTTAAAATGCTTGATAGTTGATATGCCACCAATCCCATAAAATCTACATTATACATCATGGAATCTATACTCATCTCTATACTGCATCAACTTGATCAAAAGCACAACTATATAAGCCGCTAACATCATTGTAGCTAGTAAAGGCCTCTATAAGTGCAACTATATATCACAGCAACTCGATTAAAAAAACACAATGTCATCGACATTATAGCTTCATAACCTCTATGGGTCAATATCTTTACACTTTCTAGCACTTCCCTTCATTTCAGTGATGCATTCCTAACCATCATCATAACTCATGCCATGGACTTAACAAACTAGATTCTGCTACTGATATATATTTACTGTTAAGCTACAAACTAGTTTGCCTTTTTTCTCTACAGTTCACCCATCCACTAGGTGCAACAAGGTGTTGTTTTTTTATCCATTTTAAGCTTGAAAGATGGTCCAAGAAAGTCCTTGTGCAAGCTTTACCCTGAACCTAAGTTACACGGATATGGGTACGGGACATGGTAATTTCTGAAATCTAGGGTACGGGGACACAACTACACAAGTATATATAAGAATAATTTACATGACATCAATATTATTTTTTCATTTCATGTCATGAAATAAAATTCCTGTAACATTTATATGTTCCTCTTATAATATAGATCTGTAAATTAGAAAATTGTTCCTTTTTTTAACTTGATATCCAAAAGACCTTTCATAAATATAGTTTTGAACTATGTACAGACTGAAATGAACCAAAATTATGCCCAACGAGTTTGAAGAATTGCATGTGCAGTGTAGGATATACGTCCAAGAAGTATATGACGAGTGTTCTAAATTAAAACATGCGTTTATATAATGGAAAACATATTTGAATAAGACTATGCAAATATCAAGGGAGTGTCCACTAAGGTTTCAGTGTTGGCTAAGGGTACAATGTGGGTATGGCTCCAAATAGAAGTACCCATGCAATGTAGCCCTGAACAGAATATTTTCTCCTTCCTTACGTTATCTACAGGAGCAGGATGCATTTTCAATAATGATCACACAATAAATCACAAGAGCATCCCATAGAACCCTTACTCCAAGAGCTTCATACCATATTTATAAGCATATGCATGCATCGAGCTCAGCAACAAGTAAACATAATATAACAAAGAAACAGTATTTATTCTAAAACAAATCAAGAAAAGCCTGTAGCTAACACTTGAATCTGGGATTCCCCCCTAACTGCACCCAATCCTTCACCAGATGGTCAGGACTCAGGAGAGATCAATAGCTATTTGATTGAAAGCAGGCAGTCATGTCAAATAAAAACACTACCATCCAAGACACAAAGCAAAGGAATGAAATTGCAGTCACCTCAGTTCGGCCAGGCATAATCGGTTTTCCGGCCAAAAGTTCTGCTAGAATACACCCTGCACTCCAAAGATCCACACCAACACCATAATCAGTGGCCCCTAAAAGAAGCTCAGGGGGTCGATACCAAAGTGTGACTACTCGACTAGTCATAGGTTGCTTGTGGTTTGGATCAAAGAATGAAGCCAACCCAAAATCTGCAATCTTAAGCATTCCACTATTATCGAGTAAAAGATTGGATCCCTTGATGTCGCGGTGCAGCACACCCCTGTTATGACAGTGCTCAAGACCCGACAACAACTGGTGCATATAACATTTGACCTGTTCAAGAAGTAGTTTATAATCTTCATGCATATTACAGTTTCCTAGAAGAATAAAAATATGGTAGTTATAAACCTAACCTGAGGCTCGGTGAACTTGATTCCTGGGCTGGCTGCAAGACCAGCAAGATCATGCTCCATGTACTCAAACACTAAGTACAAGCTGCAAGACATTCTTGATGTGACCAATCCTTCCAATTTCACTACATTGGGATGATCCAACCGTCTCAATATGAGGATTTCTCGTGCCATAAACTTAACACTTTCTGGTTCCAAATTGTCAAACCGGACCTTCTTCAATGCCACAATTTTTCCTGTTAATGTATCCCTAGCCTTGTAAACGTTACTATAAGTGCCTTGCCCAATCTACACAGAAGAACCAAATCATTGTAGCAATAATACACTCACAAAAAATAAACAGAACTACACTAATCAGTTGTTTTGTTCTTTATCTATTAGTTATAAGTTCAATAAATCTAAACAAGCAAGAGAATTCTAAATATCATCATGTAATAATCTTTGGAGATTGGATCTTATTAACTCATCCAAATACTTGCACTCAAATGAAAATAATTGATACCTCTCTAAAGGCAGGGCATGACAAGAAGTAGCGCTGGTTTACAAGTGCACCTAGAGCTAGTTCAGATCGCTTCAGTTTGTCAGGAAACCATAATAATTGTACTAATTGATTTTCCAGAAGGAACCATACGAGTCCACAAGCATTAGTTTAATAATTTAAATTATAAATTCCTAAATCCAACAAATTTGATATTTCTACTAAGATAGATTTGGGATACACCGATACAGTGAGTCACGTTTTCTAATGACTCTACTAAGATAGATTTGGGATACACCGATACAGTGACTCGCGTTTTCTAATGATGAAGTCATCCTGTTTTAGTCCAACATCTTTTGAGGCTAAGATTTAGCCAAACAATTGTTAAAGTTTCCACAGGAGACACAATTAAGATGTCCCAACGATGAGCAATAAGCAGGTAAGAAAACTGCGTAAACATCACAGACCTAAAATTCTAAATAGTCCTTTTCTTTCCAAAAACTTATATCTATATTCCATGTGATAATGCTAACTTTCTAATAAACATTGTTTTCTGAATTTAGTTTCAAAAACTTCTATGCCTTATTGCATAACCAAGAAACTGTAAGAGATGCGAATTTCATTTACGTTTTCACAGCAACAAGCAGAAGGAACAAAGACCATAGTTGTTTTTTTTATAGTCCAGATACTATTTTAAAATAGTATGAATCCGCCCATTTATACCATGTTTGTTTTTTATCCGGTCCGAACTAATTTTAAGGAAGGATTGAGTAATACCTGAAAAGGTGACTATTTTAAACCCACCCCACCCCTACCTTTACATTCCAATATTATTCATCTATGGGGTAATAAGATTTTGGGACAAATTTTCTCATATTCTTTTTGCTTTTTGTTCCCGAGATCTATCCTTCTCCCGATCGCTTTATTTTTTTATTCATGCTTTTCTTTTCCGCAAGCACTATAGAAGAATGCATAATGGAGAAGCTTATTATAACTCAACATTTAAGAACAAAATGCTTCCTGTCAGACGTTAATTCGATGCATCATCTATAATTACCACAGCAATGATATGTTTTGTCTATGGCCCTGCTTATTAGTTTTCGCTCCTAATAGCTGCTACTATTGCATGACCAAAGTCACTTGAGGAAGTTCAAATTCAAACCAATATACAATGTGGCATTTATCATATTTATTCTATTTCATAATTCATATGATTTAATCTATATTAATGGTGTAAGTTAGTAAGAAATGTCTTATGGGTTGCTTCTTATTTCTACATCCATGTGTATACCATGAATCATTTTCTTCTGATGATTAGAGGTTATTTCTTTGCATTATCCATGCAACTGAGTTTAAGCCCTCAATTTCTCCCCAAATTAGAGTGAAGTATCTAATTCTCTTGTCACAGTGTAGCTTTTTAGGGGGTGATTTTTACTATGTAAATTTTTTTATGATTGTGTTTTTTTTTAATAAATACATGTTTACTGTATCATGACAGGTATAGAATTGTATCTATTTTTTAGACGATTTCATGGGAATTTTTTGTTGTGCAGATGCATTTGTACAATAGTAGTTGATTGGAGGACAAAGCATCATTCTGGTTATATTAGTCCAAATGGTCATAGATAATCCCCCTAAAAACAAACATTAATTTAGATTATTTTAAGTTAGTCAGTTAGTCCATGTAAAAACAAATATGGGATTGGACCAAAGCAATCCCTAGATAACACAGTCCCAGAACTATAGTCCGGGACTTATAGTAGCAGTGCTAGGATAAAAAAACAAATATGGCGTAAGATAGTTAAATTTTCAGTTTCCTAATTTACCATTCATCGAACACCACCTCCTGAAATCATAGACTCCCATCTTCTCCTTTTCCTTTAAAAGCTACGAAATAAGAAAATAACATGACACGTATATATAGCACAGCATCAAGATTTCAAGTTCCCTTGATTTAGCTTCTCAAATCACTAATTTTAGCTCTTGGAGAGTATATTTCCTTGGAATCAACAAAGTATACTACATAAGACTTCTTTGACTTTTTAAATCAGTAGAAGACAGATCGAAAGGCAAAAGACTTGAAAGACCAACTTCCTGAATTAAAATTTTTTATATTATAAACGGGCAATCCATTCATATCCCAAGCACAAACTTCTAAAATCACATGCTTTCAATTTTCCCACTGGTGATAGAAGTAACAGATAAATGCTAACTATACGAAAATAATTTAAGAAAATTTGCTCTAATCACCATAGCAAATCAGCGGTTCCAACTCTAATATCTACTCATTTCCAAATCAAGAAAATACTACCCAAAGCATAATGCCATATGATAAAGAGCTTTTCAAATAAAGAAATTAATCGAAAGCACAGTGTTGTAAAAAGCAGCTTAGCAGTGTTCTAAAAAGCGCAGAGCCTTGGCCACCTAGATTTGGCCAGAGCGGCCAGTCTAGGCGTCCGCTCCGCCTAGGCGGCGCTTAGGTCTGCCTAGCTTTTTGAACAAAAAAAAAGAAAGAAAAACCTAATTTTAAACTAAAACCCAGCCCAAACCTGAATCTATTACTAACTCTTAACCTAACTCTATCTCTCTGACTCTCTCCCTCTCTCTCACGTATTCCCGCAACCTCCTCTTCTCTCTCTCCCCCCGCCTCCTCCTCTTCCGTACGCCGCCTTCCTCTCCGCCACCTCCTCGCCCCCTACCGCCTTCCTCTCCCGCTACCTCCTCATCCTCTTCGCCGTCACCTCTTCTTCGCTCCCACCACCTCTTCGCTAGCTCCTCTTCTTCGCCATTGCCTTCTTCTCGAGCTGATCACTATACTTCCTCCTTGAGCCACCTCAGCTCCTCTTGTTCGCCGCCTCTTCCTCTTCATCGCCAGCCATCCTCTTCTCTTTTCAAGGTAAAATTTTTATCTTTTTTTCATTATGATTATCTGATTATATTGGACATGGTGATGTTTCTTAGTATTAGGTTACTATTTTAGCGCTATTTAGTATTTATGCATGGTTGATTATGGATCTAATATTATTATTTATGGTTTTTTACAATTTATATGAAATTAATACATACTTTATGAATTATTATAATTAAATAAATTTAAAAATAGGCAAATGCCTAGGCACCACCTAGCCGTACGCCTAGACGCCTAGGAGCTACGCCCCGACTCAAACGCCTAGTCCGCCTAGCGCCTTCTGTAACATTGCGAAAATATAATGCCAAACGATATAGAGTCTAGCCTATATGAAAAAGGCTCTCTCCTTTTTTTTTCTAAATGAAGTTAGAAGTAGCTGGTTATGAAATCATTATCAAAGGTATAATGCCAAACGATAAAAAGTCTAGCCCCATATGATAAAGACTCTTTTTTATATATGATAAAGACTCTCACCATGGTTGAACTGCACATAATGCAAATTGTCCAAAACAAATTCAACTCAAATTCTGATATTTAATATTGTAATCAATGATTTTTTAAACTAGGTATGCAATCAATCCATAACCAAAAGTAACAGATCGTTTGATTTTAATTTAACTTTTTCAAAAATGACAAAAAGGCAAAACAATATACTTGCACACACAAAAATCACAAATTTCTTTCTACATCAGAGCTGAGCTCAAGGTTCAATTTCTTCTTTTTAGGGTTTCTTTCAGCAGGCGATAACCATCTAAAATCATCTCTTAAATGTTAAACAAAACAGAGTCTAAGCTCTGCAATTTACTGAAATTTGCACTTTAGATACCCTAATTCCTTCTGAATCAAGAAACCACAACAAGAAACAAACTTTCTATTTAGATCGAAAAAGAAAAACTATCGCCGATGTGTTACCTTATCGATCTTCTCAAAAGAATCAGCTCGCCGAGGGGTACAGCCCCTTAATAGCCTCACCGGCGACCGCTGACAGCCACGCCGGCCACCCCGTCGCAGTCTGCTCCCCTCTCACGTGTCCCGGTATATTCCCCCTGCCTCCGCCGCCTCCGCCTTCTCGGCTTCTCCGCCGCCTTCACCTCCGTCGTCTCCGCCGCCGACGCCTCGTCCACAACGGCCACCGCATCCGCCACGCACCTCCGGCCTCGATCTTCGCCACTGAAGTCTGAGATCTCCGGCTGGACGCCACGTGGCGATCGCTTCGCCCTCGCGGGCGGGGACGCGGGGGCGTCGCCACCCCCGCCTCCGTCGCCTTTGCCGAGGACGCACCCCATCGAGATCCCCGATTAGGTCGCCGCGCGCGACGATTGCATCGGCGCCGAAACCCTAGATTCTGTTAGGGTTTTGTTCGCTGTCGCTGTCGCTGTGTTGCTGATCTCGGCGTTAAGTTGGTCCGCAGGCAGAGCAGGAGAGTATTTGACTGGATAGAGCGAGAGTCAAAGGACTTTGGAGGGGTCTGAGACTGGAACAGGACTCTGAAGGGATTCTGGTATTTGATTGCTCATTGGATGATCTGGATTTTTGAGATCTGATTTTATTTCTTACATATATAGCACTTTCATGCCAAGATTAGTTAAATGAAAGAACTTGTTTATTTTAGTAGAGATTAGTTTACTAATAACAATAATATAATATTTGATCCGATTTGGATTATTGAAAATTTATATCGTTGAACATGATGTAACACGCATGGACCTTTTTCATGAGATGAGGTACTACGCATGAAACTTAATTATGAAATTGTCAAGTGTTGATTTTGTTAACATAAGATGCATGGTTAAAATACCCCAAACTAATTTAAGAAGTTATCTTTGTTAAGATCATGCAGTTCAATTTAACATAAGATGCATGGTTAAAATACTCCAAACTAATTTAATAAGTTATCTTTGTTAAGATTATGCAATTCAATTTATATTCTGACGTACTTTTGTTTTAAATGTGCTTTAGAAATTTGTGGCTAGCAAATTTTAAACTTGGATTGTTGTGATATAGTGTCACACAAGACCAAAATTTTGAATTCGTAATAGGAGTCTGGGCTTCGTACTCTTACACATACAACAAGAAATTGTGAAGATGAGAAAGAAGAGAGTAATTTCACGCACTCACTAAAGAGATTCATTCATTACTTAAATAGATAACAGCAGCAACAATTCAGTTAACAATTCAGTTAACAATCCACTAACAACCCACTAAAGAGATAAACTCCTAATAACTATTAACTACCCGATACCTACTAAATATCTTAACATCCCCCCTTAAACTGATTTCTGCAGAAAACAGTTTAGGAGAAAACAAGTAAATCAGAATTTCAGTCTCCTGAGCATGTCTTCCCTTGAACATCATGCAACGAACACATTCCAAGCAAACTTCTGAGATGCTCGAACAACGGTTGCTTGAGAGGTTTAGTCATAATATCAGCAATTTGAACCTCACTCCTGCAATATTCTAATTTAATCACATTCTCTTGACATAAATCACGTAGGAAATGGTACCGAACATCAATGTGTTTGCTCTTCCCGTGTAAAACTGGATTCCTTGAAAGCTTGATGGCAGAGACATTATCACAATAGATTGTTGTAGCATCTTGCTGATGATAACCAAGGGTATCCAACATTCTTCTAAGCCAAATTGCCTGGCAGGAACATGAAGCAGCTGCAACAAACTCAGCTTCCGCAGTGGATAATGTCACAATTTGCTGCTTCTTTGAGGACCATGAAATAGCACCTGAACACATTAAAAACACATCCCCTGAGGTGCTTTTACGATCATTTAAATCACCTGCATAATCACTGTCAGTATATCCGAAGAAATCTGATGTTGCACTTCTCTTGTAAAATATCCCGAAATCAACGGTGCCTTTCAAGTATCGAAAGATTCTCTTTGCTGCTTTGAAATGCATCTCAGTTGGAGCTTCCATGTATCTGCTAATTAAGCTCACAGGATGCATTATATCAGGTCGAGTGGAGGTTAAGTACATCAAGCTTCCAACCATTTGCTTAAAAAGAGTGTTGTCAACTCTCTTTCCATCAGGATCAGTACTTAACTTTAATCCAGCTTCAGCTGGTGTTCCAACAGGATTACAATTCATCATATGAAATCGTTTCAGCACCTCCTGAACATATTTCTTCTGACAAATAAAATTACCAGCTGTAGATTGTACTACTTCTATGCCAAGATAGTAGTGCATCAGCCCCAAATCACTCATGTCAAATTCCTTCATCATAGATTGTTTAAAAACATCAAACATTCGAACATCACTACCAGTGTAAATCAGATCATCAACATATAGACATACAACCAGTAGTTTACCATCATTGCCAGACTTAACATACAACGTATGTTCATATGGGCATCTCCGAAAACCTTGTTTGACCATATATGCATCTATGCGGCTATACCAAGCTCGGGGAGCTTGTTTCAGCCCATAAAGCGCTTTCTTCAATCGAAAAACTTTTCCTTCATGCCCTTGCTGCACATACCCTGGAGGTTGATCCACAAACACCTGTTCTTGCAATTCACCATGTAGAAAAGCGGATTTCACATCTAATTGAAATATACGCCAAGAGTTTTTAGCAGCAAGAGAAATTACCATCCGAATTGTGTCTAGCCTTGCAACCGGAGCAAACACTTCTTTATAATCGACTCCGTACTCTTGCTTATATCCTTTTGCTACTAAACGAGCTTTGTACTTGTCAACCTCCCCTTTTTCATTCAGTTTTGTTTTAAAAACCCACTTCACACCAATAGTTTTCTGACCTTTAGGCAGATCAGTGAGTTCCCAGGTATCATTTTTCTCAATGGATGCAATTTCAGCATCCATAGCTTTTTGCCATTTTGCATCTTTGCTTGCTTCCATAAAAGTGAGGGGAGTACAATCTGCAAATAAAGCAAAGTGAGCAAGAGTATCATCATCAGAGAGTTCATCTCCACTTACATAATCCATCATCCAGCTGGGTCGCCTCCGAATACGTTGATTATGAATCATTTGATCAGTGACACTTGGTGCAATAGTGGCTGGAGAATGCAGCTGCAGCTGATCAGCGACTCCAAGTGGAACAACAGGAGATTGAGGTTGCACTTCAATCTCATCATCAACTGCATCAATGTCAGCTGGAACTCCTTGCTGTTTTACTGTTTTTGACCAGTCCCACATCTTTTCCTCATCAAATATTACATCTCTGCTGATAATTACTTTCTCAGTAATTGGATTGAACAATTTGTATGCTTTGGAGTGTTCACTTACTCCCAGAAAAAAACACTTCAAACCCTTGTCATCAAGCTTCTTTCTCTTTTCATCTGGAATATGTGCATATGCTATGCACCCAAACACTTTAAAATGATCCACTGCTGGCTTCCGTCCTCCCCAAGCTTCCTCGGGTGTCTTATTCTTAACTGAAAAAGTAGGACACCTGTTCAAAATATGAGTGGACCACATAACAGCTTCAGGCCAAAAACGTTTTGGAACTCCTCCTTTAGCAAGCAGACTTCTAACCATGTTGAGAATAGTCCGATTCTTTCTCTCAGATACACCGTTTTGTTGCGGTGTATAGGAAGCTGTGAGTTGCCTACGAATGCCATGCTTATCACAAAAAACATCGAACTCTTTTGAGCAATACTCTCCTCCACGATCAGTTCTAAGGATCTTAATCCTCTTTCCGGTTTCAGTTTCTACAGATGCTTTGAAGGTTCTAAATGCATTAAAAGCTTCTGATTTTTCCTGCAAAATATATACCCATGCCTTTCTACTAAAATCATCAATGAAAGAAATAAAATATTTCTTTTTACCATTTGACATTGGGTTAATTGGGCCACATATGTCTGAGTGCACCAAGTCCAGCAAGTTCTGAGCTCTCCATGCCTTTCCTTTTGGAAATGGGTCGCGATGTTGCTTTCCAACTATGCACTCTTCACAGACCTTGGATGGAGTTGTGATCATGGGGAGGCCTGTCACCATCTGCTTTTGATATAGTGTCCTCAAGCCATTAAAATTAAGGTGCCCAAATCGATAATGCCACAGCCATGATGGATCATCTTCCTTGGCAACTAAACAAGCTTTAACAGTCTCAATTTTTAGTGGGAATAGCAGGTTTGAGCTCATATGTATGACAGCAATGCTGCCTCTTACAGGATCATATATCTCACAAGAACCATCCTGTATAGTGATGATATATCCCTTCTTTTGCAATTGCCCAACACTTAACAGATTAGTTTTCAAATCAGGCACATAAAACACGCTGGAAATTGTTTCAGTAAAACCATTTTTAGTTTTTATTTGAATATCTCCTTTCCCCATCACATTTAATTTAGAACAGTCACCAAAACTGATAGTGGTACGAAAATCTTCATTTAAGGATGAGAAAGAGGACTTACAGCCACTCATATGATTACTACACCCTGTGTCAACGTACCAGGTATCAAATCCAGGTTCTTTATTGGCATGAAATGCCATTAAAAGTGTTTCTTCTTCCCTTCTCTCAACAAAGTTTGATTTTTCTCCTTCTCCTTTATCTTTCGGCAGCTTCGTATAGCATTCATTGCTATAATGACCATAGTTGTGACAGCGATAACACTGGATATTCATCTTATCAGTATGTTTATAACTACCTTTTCCTTTGGCTTGAGAGCTCGGCGATGAACGATCTTCGTGCCTGAAATTCTGTTGATGTCTACCTCCATTGTGGTTGCCTCGACCTCCTCTTCCTCGTCCTCTACCACCTCTACCCCTGCCTCTTCCTCTGTAGCTTGAAAAATCATTAAAGGTAGAGGCTTTCAAAGCTTGTTCTTCAGATGTATTATTGTCAGTGGTGCTGCGATTCAGCTTCTGCTCATGCACCAGTAAAGAGCTTTGCAACTCATCGATTGACATTGTGTCAATATCATGAGATTCTTCAATGGAACACACAATATAGTCGAATTTGGGAGCCATAGATCTCAATATTTTCTCTACAACAGCACCATCTTCAATCTTCTCACCATGAATCCTCATCTTATTTGCAATCCCCGTAACTCGTCCAAAATAATCAGAGACCGACTCTCCGTTTTTCATTTGGAGAGTCTCAAAATCTCTCCTCATTGCTTGAAGATGTGCACGCTTTACTCTTGCTGAGCCTTGAAACTTCTTCTTCATAGAATCCCATATATTTTTTGATGTATTTTTCTGGAGAATAGTCTCTAGAACTTCACGATCGATTGATTGAAAAAGAAAATTCTTTGCCTTGAAATCTTTCAAACGCGATTCCTCAATTTTTGCTTTCTGGGCATCTGTCAATGCTTGATACGCTGCCTCTGTAGGTGCTGTAAAACCCTTATCAACAACCTCCCAAAGCTCTTTAGATCTGAAGAAATTCTCCATTAGCATACTCCAATGATCGTAGTGACCATCAAAGTGAGGAATTGCTGGTTGGATAAAAGAGGCTTTCTCTGTGGCCATTTGTCGAACAATTTCTACTCCTATACTCTCAGTATTTGTTTATCAGTTATCACCTCTGCAGAGGCTCTGATAC